AAGATCCTATTCATCCCATCCTGGACGAAGACTTTGAAATCATCCCCCTCGGTGAAGATCCAAACAGAGGCGTGAAGATTGGAGCTGGACTCCCCGATCTGGAGAGGAAGCAGCTCAAAGTCTGCCTGAGGATGAATGCTGATTTTTTCACGTGGAGCGACGCAGAGGTGCCCGGACTTGACTCTGAGGTCACCTGCCACCAGGCGTAGACAGTGTCCCGAGGAAGCAAAAGCTGTGAAAAAGCTGTAAAAGACCTCCTAGAGGCCAATTTCATTTCTAAGGCTTGATATTCAATCTGGCTCTCTAACGTTGTACTTGTTAAGAAAAATAATGGAAAATTGCGTATGTGTTGATTATACTGATCTCAACCGAGTATGTCCCAAAGATGCATATCCTTTACTTAATATTAACATGTTAGTCGACAACTTGGCCGACTATACACTCTTATCATTTATGGATGCATATCCAGGTTATAATCAAATACCCATGGTGATGAGAGATAAATAATGCACGACTTTCATGACTGGCTCATGCAATTACTACTATAATGTAATGCCCTTCGGCCTAAAAACGCGGGCGTAACGTACCAGCGGATGATGAACAAAGTCTTCCATGATGAGATTGGGTACACACTTGAGGTATACATGGATGAAATGATCATCAAGTCTCGAGAAAAAACCAACCACACGGCCCACCTAAAAAGAGTCTCCGACCGAGCAAGACAATACAAGATGAGATTCAACCCAGAGAAATGCACCTTCGGGGTTAAAACGGGCAAGTTCCTCGACTTCTACTTGACCAAACGAGGGATCAAAGCCAACTCCAAAAAATGTCGGGCATTCTTCGAGCTCCCTATGCCTAAATCGAAAAAATCCATACAAATCTTGAACGGTATGATCACCTCTCTCTCCCGCTTCGTGGCAAAATCCGCACATCATACACTCCCATTTTTCAAACTCTTACGCAAAGAGGCAACATTTGAATAGATGGAGGAGTGTGAGTAGGCCCTCGTCCACCTCAAACAAGCTTTTCGCAAACACCCATACTCTCACGAATATAGAATAGGGGAAACTATGTTCCTCTACCTGGCTGTCTCAACTGAGGCTATAAGCGTGGCCCTCGTCCGTGAAACACCGGACAGGCAGAAACCAATATACTTAACCAGCAAAGCAGTGCAAGGCCCCAAGGTCAGGTATCAACAGATAGAAAATATAGCTTTTTCCCTCATCAATACAGCAATGATACTCAAATATTACTTCCTAGCCCACACGGTCGTTGTGTGAACCGACCAACCTATAAGGCAACTACTAGGATGACTAGACATGGGAAGTCGAATGCTGAAATAGTCCCTAGAGCTTTCGGAGTTAGACATCCAATACGAAAGCAGGAAAGCTCTCAAAGCCCAAGCATTGGCCGACTTTATCATGGAGGCGACCACCCCCAAACCCCCTATATGCGGGGCACGAAAGTGGAAAATCTTCGTGGACGAAGCGTCCAACTCGATAAGGAGTAGAGAAAGTATCCTCCTCGAGAACGATGAGGGAGTGATGATCGAACATTCACTCACTATCATTCCCAATATCAAACAACCAAGTCGAGTGTGAGGCCCTGCTTACAAGGATGAGACTAGTCGAATACCTAGGCGCCCAAGAAGTACAAATCTTCACCGACTCCCAATTCATCGCATCCCAGGTACGAGGAGAATACTAGTCTAAGAACGATAGCCTCATAGAGTACCTAAACCTGGTCAAAAAAATAATGAAGAGGTTCACCCACGCGGAGATCAAACATGTTCCATGCGAACAGAACACTCGGGCTGACGTAATGTCAAAACTCGCGAGCACAAGGAAGAAAGGCGGGAAAAAATATGTCATTCAGGAATCCCTTTCTCGCTCGAGCATCAAAAATCCCATTGCATCGCCCGAGGTGAATGCCACGGGGACATTACATGTTGGATGACCCCGATGTTCAATTACCTCACCAACGGATAACTACCTGCCGACTAAAAAGAGGCCAATGCAACTAAACGCCGGGCTTTTCCTACGTGATTGTCAGGAAGAAGTTCTAATGGAGGGAATTCTCCATCCTGCTCTTATAGTGTGTCGAAGAGATTAAAGTTCCCCATATCTTGCGGGAAATTCACAAAGGAATCAACACCCAACACTTAGGCGGAAGATCCTTGGCACGAAAGGCACCACGAGCAGGATACTACTGGACCACAATGCAGCAGGATGCTAAGAAGCACGTCAAAAAATGCGACAAATTCCAGAATCATGAAGATATGCACCTAACACCCCCACACGAGCTCAAAACATTGTCGTTCTCGTGGCCATTCGCTTGGTGGGGGGTGGACATCCTAGGGCCCTTCACCCAAGGATCGTACCAGAACAAGTTTATGATCCTCTCTGTCGATTATTTCACGAAATGGATATAGGCCGAAGCCCTCTCCAAAATCAGGTCGCACAATATACTTCGCTTCTATAAAAGAAATGTCTTTGCCCGGTTCAATGTACTAGAAGAGCTCGTCATCGACAACGGGATGCAGTTGACCAACCAAAACTTCCAAGATTTCGTAAAGAAGCTCGACACCAAGCAATATTTCACATCCCCAAACGAACGAGAAAGATGTAACCTCGAACAGAGTCATCTTACGATGACTTAAACGCAAGCTAGGTGAAGCCAAAAAGAGATGGGTCGAAGAACTGCACAACATGCATTGAGCTTATAGAACGATGTCACACTCGACAACCGGGGAAACCCTTTTTCGACTAACCTACGGTATCGAGGTGGTCATCCCTGTGGAAATCATGGAACCTTCTAGACGAACCAAATCCCCTCTCAACGAGGAACTAAACAATGAATCCATGAGGAAAGAGCTCAACCTGGTCGAAGAGATTCGATCGGAGGCATCTCTTCACGAGGCCACGCTGAAACAACAGATAACTCTACTACATATGGCAAATTCAGAAAGATTCCTGCGAAGGAAAGTTAGCGGCTAACTGAGAAGGCCCCTATCATGTCCGCGGGACAATGAGAAATGGGGCGTATTAACTCGAATACCTAAGTGGAGAACAACTACCTCGACTATGGAACTCTATAAAGCTAAAACAATATTACAGCTAAGTCCCAAGCAAACGCTAGGGCCTAGCAGTCGACGTGCCCTCTCTGACAAATGACGGGGTTCGCTCGACCATTGGAAGCATGTTGAGGTATGAACATAGCCTCCAACTAATGATAGAAGGCGGGTTTTTGCTTATTGAACGAGCGGAACCTCAGCCCGACGGGGTCACCTCGACCGAGCTTCGTCGTTGAAGTACCAAATAGGGAGAACACCCAGCTCGTGATGGGACAGTTCACGCCATGAAGTCAAGACCCTGACCGCGACCTTGGCCTCGTCCAAGCGGAGTCCAAATCTGCATCCTCAACGCGTCTCCATACATCGTCTACCATAAATCAGGTCGAGCGCGAATTTCCACACTTGTGAAAAATAAACATCTCAAACGTAACGACAAGTAACATCTAACACGTGATAAACATGCACAATAAAAGCATTCAGAAAAGCCGACCACGAAATCCGGTGTTGTCGAGATATTACAAAATTAAGGGTGTGCATGCCCAAACAAAAAGCAGTCAGGCAAAGCCCCTTGTCATAATTTTACAGAAAATACGGGCACTGAGGCCCTTCTCCAAATATTATAGAAATACAAGCATGCATGTCTGAACAAATCAGAAACAACATGAAATCAATCCTCACGGGAACCATCATCTTCGCCATCGTCGGAGGTGTTGGGATGGGGAATCAGCTTACCATCAACCACTTGGGACAACAATCCGATCCCTTCGACATTAAGCCCAAGGTTCAACAACTCGAGCTGAGACACCGCAATATTAAAACCCATTATCATCACCACTAAACAACTAGACTCAAGGATACAAATCATTGCAACAAAGTCAGCCCAAGTCATCAAGGCCTTTGTCTCATCAGACTCATCCTCGGCAGACACCGCGACAACTCTCAAGTCAACAACTTCATCCTCGAGGCCTTTTTTCTCAAGCAACAAAGCCTCATTCTCGGGGGACAGATTGGTCGCCGCATCCTCCTTCTTCTTCAGCTTGATGCCCTGGACTCAGAACTTCTCTTTGTCAAGGGCAGACTGTAGCTTCCTCGCTTTTCCCTAAAGGGCCACTTTCTTCACCCCGAGAATCGTAGAGCAGTTGAACCAGGATAAGAACCATAGACTAGTCCCACCTACCCACGTAGGATCCTGGCAGTCTCTTTTATGGACTTGGACAACCAACTCAAATGGAGACCTTGACCCAATGTTGAGAGTTATAAATACTCTCTTACACTATACGGTCAAATATTCATCCATTCACACTCATACTCTCTACTTGCACTTGGCATTGAACCTTATTTGACATCAGAGTATCTTGCAAGTAACTCCCACTTTACTGCAACCACCGTACAATTTCAGTTCGTGGACTATCGATAATCCCTTCTAATTAGATATTATCAAAATCTGTCACAAATGTGTGCTTTCAGTAGTGTGCATGGTTTATTCTAGAGCACGCTACGTCTATTTATACTACTAGTTTATTCACTATGTTTATTCTTGGCAAAATAATCATTTTGGTCCATTAACTATACCCTTGAGTTCACATTGGTCCCTTAACTTTTTCCCGTGTCATTTTGGTCCCTTAACTTTCAAAAAGTTTCATTTTTGTCATTTTTGTCTAATTAACGACGGAAAAACTTTGAAATCTGTCGCTAAATCTGTCGCTAATTAGACAAAAAAGACTAAAGTGAAACGTTTTAAAAGTTAAGAAATCAAAATGACAAAAAAAATAATTAAGGGACCAATGTGAATCCAAAGATATAATTAAAGGAGAAAAATGAATATTTTACGTTCATTTTTAAATTCCATTAAGATTATTTATACTAATTTATTTTAACAAATCTTCATTATTTTTTCACCACAAGTTTCAATTCTTGAACAAGCATGAAGCGAACTCGATCTCAAACCAAATCCAATTCGACCCCAAACAACGACCCAAAACCCCCAACCAAAACCCTAATTTCTTCAAAAATCCCATTCACCGTTAAAAAAATCCCCAACCTCACCCTCAAAAACAAAAAACCAAATCTTCATCTTCCCACACCGCCACCATCAACAACAACAATTGCAAAACCATTATCATCCCACGGCGAAATCGAATCTGCCCTCAACCACCTTCACTCCGCCGACCCACTCCTCTCAACTATCATCAACACTTTCCCTTCTCCACAACTCTCAACCAACACCACACCCTTCTTATCTCTCATCAAAACCCTAATCTCCCAACAAATCTCCACCAAATCCGCATCTTCAATCGAAAACCGTTTCATCTCTCTCTTTGGTCACCCATCTTCAATCCTCCCCGACGCCGTTTTATCCCTTTCTCCAACCCACCTTCGTCAGATAGGAATCTCGGGACCGAAAGCAACCTACATTCACGACCTTTCCACCAAGTACGCCAATGGGTTTCTGTCTGATTCATCAATAATCGAAATGGACGATGAAACACTCTACGAGAAACTAACATCGGTTAAGGGAATTGGACCTTGGTCGGTTCATATGTTTATGATTTTCACACTTCATCGTCCTGATGTTTTGCCTGTTGGGGATCTTGGTGTGAGGAAAGGTGTGCAAAAGTTGTATGGTCTTAAGGGTTTGCCTTCGCCTTCACAAATGGAGGTTTTATGTCATAAATGGAAGCCTTATAGGTCGGTTGGAACTTGGTATATGTATAAGTTGGTGGAAGCTAAAGGGGTTTTGCCAAATCCCACTACCGTGTTGTGTTAACCATTTGTTTGTCTAATTAATCTTAATGTTTTTTGTATGCAATGTTTGTTTCAAGTTCTACTTTAGTTCTACCATCTGATTTTTGGTGTTCACTTTTTTGTTGTGTTACTTTTGTTAGCATTTGAAAATCTAGTTATAGCCTAAAAGAATGATATGACTGGATTTGCAACTAGTTTTTGGTGCTTTGAACCTTTGATTAAACTTGGATTAGATGTAAGACTATTGTGGTGTTTGTTGTATAAACGAAAAGAGAAAGAGAGAGAGAGAGAGAGAGGCTATTCTGGTCTTGATGAAGTTAGGAGTGGGGGAAAATATGTATTTGCTGCCTTGTTAAAAGAATATAAATGTCAATTTCGTTGCCATCATAAATTGAAAATTTTCCATTTTTATACTAGTGGTGAAACTATATAAGATTTGATATTGTTTAAAATAGAAGACTAGAAGTTTTTGGATGAAAAACATATAGCAAAGAGAGATTCTGAAATGCCTCGTTGAAGTTTTTTACAAACATTTTTTGATTGGGATATATTACCTTAATTGTTGGCTCATTGAAGTGGGTGAAGTATTTATCAGATATACAAAGGGGGTCTCGGCGAATGTTAAAGAAACTGGTAGTGACCATCTTTCTGTGTTTGTTTGCTATAAATTGATGCATTAGTTTTTTCACTAAGTCCTAATAACTAGTGATGGAGAGTCAAGGCAGACTTATATACAACCTCAAAGTTGCATCTTTAAGGTGTCAAAGAAGTTTGTATTTGAAGGAGTCAAGGGTTTTAATGATGGTCATATGTGTCTTGATACAAGCAACATGTTCATATGAGTTGTTTCGTCTATTGAACTTAGTCAATGAAAGAGACTTAAAATTCTCTAGAACGGGTGTCTCCCATATCTTGTCAGAGAGGGATTAGGGGTCTAGCATCTCCACTCCATTAATAAGGTCTACTCTTGTTAGTATTGTTGGATATGGAGGACGTCATCCTTCAAAGTTTGGTTCTAGTGACGTAGATCGTCCATAGCATCGCACATTTTTGATATGGTGTTTTCCTCGCTTCTGGATTCTTCGCTTGCAAGAGTAGTTGTCTTTTTGTTCACCGTGATGGTTAGAGAGGTTGAATGTGAAGACAATAATCCGACATCGAGTTGTCAAGGTGACCATGGTCAGTTTTATCGGGGGTCCGCAGTTAGAGCTATCAAAATGGGATAAGCCCATATGGGTCGGTCCGCCCTGCCTAAAAAATCACAGAGTTAACTCGGCCTTAAAAAACCCACTACCCATTAGAGCTACTTCGTATGGGTTGGGGGTATCCCATTAGGCTTGGATAGCTATAAATTTTAAAAAATTTATATTAATTCTTATATTGTGTTACTCAAAAATAACACATTGATTTCTCTCACTTCCCTAAATTTTGTTTCTGTTCTATTCAATCTTTCTCTTTTAGATAATACATTAATATAATCAACACTCTTACCTTATATTCTATTAGTTTCTCTTATGTTAAATATTCGAGTATTATTTTATACAATTTAGATATATATTGTATTTAAAAAAATATTATAGTATTTATAAAAGATAATATAGTGCTTAAAATGTATTATGTTTAAAATAATATAGTTTTTATTTTATTTATAATAAATATTAAATTTTTTTTTTAATAAAAAAATCATGTTTATGACCGGGTAGCCCGAAGCCCATCTAGGGTCGGGCTCAAGTAGTAACTTTCAGGCCTATATTACAACATGGATCTTTGGCCTGGTTTTCAAAAGTCCAAGGCCTGTCAAGGCCAACCCGTTTAGGACCGGGTGTCCCATTTTGACAGCTCTACCCGCATGGGCCCCAATTGTGTAGTGTGAGAATATCAATATGGAGTAGAAAAACTGTCTATAGGGGTGAATAAACTAAAATAAAAATTCTTACCGATTTTCAAAAATGGATTATCAGAGTTGTGTCCGGAAGATTTAAAGCTAAAATATAAGAATTATACTTTTATTGAAACTTGATCACGTTAACACTTCATCACTTCACAAATATGAAAAATTATTTACTGATGATACACAAAGGTATTCAATTGATTCAGTTGTATACTTCACGAGGTATATTTATACAATGATTCAATTTAAGTGAATTCTAAACTCAATAACTTATCAGAATTTAATCACCACTAAAACTCGATTAGACACCAATTCTAATAAAACCTAACCTTATGTAATAAATATCTAGCAATTTAATAAGCTATAAACTACTCTAAGAACTAAAAACCTAAGCATGCAATATCCTACGAAAATTAAATGTAAGAGTAAAAAAGAGATAGAACACACCGGAGTTTATAGTGCTTCATGGTTTGTCCTCGCTTTGCCTACTGCATTCTTCAATTGTCTTCCATTGGAATCTGCTTTGTCTCTTTTTATTTTGATAAATATTGCAAGAGTTCTTACAATCACTTAACTACAATACTGCTGAGAATACAAATCTCCTACCTGGATCTTAACTTGTATACAACGTAATTCCAAACTCTTCTAAGTAATCTTTACTCAATTCACACTTCTTGAATCTTCCAGTATCACCAATCTTTTCCAAGCCTTCGTGTGTAACAATCACCCCTTGATCCTACTAATTCCTAGAGTGATAAACCGTGTGAAGATTTAAGAAGAACTCCACCTTGTCTGTAGTCTTCCACACAGTCAATACCAAGATAATTCGAAGAGGAGGACCTTCTTCTTTTCATTGGAATTTGTCAGCACTAATGACAACAACCTCAACCTTACAAGAAACTTGAAAAACTTTACCTAATCTTCAAGAACGATTAGTTTCAAGATGATATCTCCCTCAACCAATTACAAACTCTCATTATCAAGATCTGAAATTAAAACTAGAGGTTAAAAAAGAAAGAAGTCCGATAGCGAGAGTTTTAAACTTTTCAAAAGTTAAAGGGTGTTGGTTTCACAGAAAATCACAATGTTTGTTATGAAATTCGCACATGAAAAATGATGACAAAATGATTTTATATGTGCTTGAGATTAAGCAGAAAAATGGATGGTAAAAGTTTGTTAGATTTGAGTCAAGTACATTTCATGATTTGAGTCAAATGAGCAAGTAATGTGAAACAAGATCTCATAAATAAAGTGACTTATTTTTCTGTGATTAGGCTGTGATTCGAGTCACATAGGTTCATGATTCAAATCATGTGTTAATTCTGATTCAAATCAGAAAATTCAATGGCTATCAAGAAGTTTGTGATTCGAGTCATGCACAAACTGTGATTCAAATCACAAATTACATGATTCAAATCAGGTGTAATCTATTATTTGAATTACTGACAGCAAAATTTGTTTGTTTTGCCTCTATTTTACTTGATTCGAGTCATGGATTGTGAGTGATTTGAGTTAGACACAAGAGGGTGTGACAAGCTCTATGTATGTAGTTTGTGTGTGAGTATTAGATTGTCTTCTCAACCTTAAGGCTGAAGTATTTATAATTATCCTGGGTCTGGACCTTATGTTCCTTGGAAATAGAAACCAACATTGAGAGAATTTGGAGTAGATAGTTATTCCCATGTTATACATGAGAACATGATTAACTTTCTTATGACTTCTTCCACATGGTAGCAGATCAAGAACCTATCACTTCCCGATTCTCCCATGTTAGATGGGTAATTCCTGAAGTACGCAAAATATTTAATAGAGGGGATACACATCTAATAAACAAGTGACTAATCTTGTAAATGGACGATCATTAGGGATTTATGGAGAGACGATTGCAACACTCACCTCCCCTGTCACCCCCCGTGGACCCCCTTACAAATATATTAATACAACATTTTATCTAATTTTTTATACCAATTATTTGTAAATGAAATAAGAGTAGGTATTGAGGTACTTAAGGAAAATTACAAACACATAAAAGCATTTTCAAACCTCTCATCTCTTTGATAAAATTTCATAAAACCAATCCAAACAAGTGCTTAAAAGACTAAGTGTTGATCAAGTTATGAATCTATACGCTGTGCAAGTATCAAAATGGAAACAACCTTGTTGATTTTATTTTGATGTTGACAACTTATATTAAGATAAATATTCATCACTCTTTTTATTCTTGGATTGTTGGTTAAGATGATTTAATTTGATATGTTGATCAAGTGATGGTGCTTAACAAGTTATTGATCAAGTGGTGGTGCTTGATATGTGGATCAAGTGAAGGTACATGATAATGATGATCAAATTATGGTGCTTTACATATTGTTTATAAAGTGATTATACTTGATATGTTGGTCAAATGATGGTGCTTGACATGTTGACCAAGTGATGGTGCTTGAATATCATTATATGTTGACCAAGATGTGTTGATCAAGATGAAACATGAATATCATTTGATGCAGTGATCAAGTGATGTGCTTGAATATAAAGTTATGTTAATCAATTTTGTGTTGATCAAGGTCAACTTTTTTTGCTTGGATATAAATTCATTTGTGTCTATCTGTGGAAGACAAAACCTTATGTCAAGTGGCATCTAGTGAAGTCGGCAATGGTCTTTGATCAAGCAGTTTGTCTAATGATGTAACCAGAAGAATATTGACCTCAAGCCTCATAATAAGAATATTCAAGTTCCAGTTAAGTGCTAAAGTCAAATATAATGTAGCAAGGAATGGTAAGCTTCAAAGTTGTGAAATAGATGAAGTGTGAAAGCTCACGAAGTGTGTATCGAGTGATCAGTGTTTGTGAAGGTATAAGACTAACTCTTGATTCTACTAAGAGAAATCACACACACACACACACACACACACACACACACACTTAAACCTCTAGAAAAGCCTCTCTGGATATTATAAATCACCTAATAATGTTTTAAAAACATAGATAATTGATTAAGGAAATTACATATCAATTAAAATGATATCTTACAAAGGGATAATCGATTATATAATTCGGTTATATCACTTTGCAATGTTTAAATTTGACTGGAGAAGTCCCTCAATGATTGGAAACGACTAGGAATCAAAACCTTC